GCCCTGATGGTATGATGGATTGAGTTGAATTTCTTCCAGACCAAATGCAGAGGGGGGTACCTGGTACTGTAACTGCACAGATACATCGTGAGATACTTCTGATGGGGATTATTGCTTAGAGTCAACACGTCTGGAACAGTCGACTTGACTCGTGATAACATTATGATCAGCAGCATCACAGTAATTGACCACTGACCCATTATCTCCGTTAACAGTCAAAATTGTTCATGTCAGGTTTTGTGACACGTACAGTAGATTCCCTATTAAAGTGCAGCTCATGTAGAAAGGCAAAGTCCTTACAGCAGCAACCCAGGAAAAATCTGACACGTGTCCCTTCGCAGCAAGTCATCCTCTCTGTCTCCTTTTCCTTTACTCCGCTGCTCTATAATATAAAGGGAACATTCCCAAAAGATCTTACAATAGGAAATCAGTACAGGTAAAAAAAGAGGGTAAAAGTTGTTCTATATATTTGCTTAAATGTGTAGCAACATGATGGATGCTACTTACTTCAACATTCAGTTAATGTGGCATCAGAAGTTCAATACAATATAAAACAGTAGATTGCATCAAGTTTCAATCCAACTATGTTGACCATATTTCATGGTACCTATTTTACGCTTCATTACAAACAAGAAATAAGCTAACTTGCCCGAAGTCCAGTTAGCTACGTAACAGTTTCAGAAGTTTATGTGTAAAAATGTACAACAACTAATCTCTATGAAAAAGCTAGATTTTGTGGTGCAGCTCATTTTAATTTAGTGATGTGCGAATTTCCAATAACATACTTTTTATAATGAACCTATAAAAAGCTGAAGCCAAAAATAGGATCATTAAAGAATGTTTCTCTCACCTTCCCTTTTACTTTGTCTTTTCTTTGACTCTTTCCCTCTCTCTTGCTCACACAACCCACAAGCTGAGGCCTCTGATTTCCTGGAATTTCACTACATTACACATTCACAATGACTGCTGCAGATATTTTGGGCTCATGCACTAATGTCTTTTGCAGGAGGCAAGACGACTAAATATGTTGTCAGGACCTTGCATTGTGTGACACAGATTAAGTCCTTAGCGTGGCAGTGAACCAGATCAGTGTTTGGCGCTTTGTTTTTGTCTCCTGGTAAATGTTGATTAGATTCTGCACGGCGTTGATCCAAACAAAGAGTGAGCTTCTTGTTAGGAGAATAATTCCTGCCTTGTTCCTGTCCCAGAGAGGCCCGGCTGCTAAGCAGAAAGGCATTTAGATGGAAATGGGCAGAACCAAACAGAATCAGACGGGATGTATTTATCCATATGCTGCATATCAAAGACTGACATTATTTGGCTGCTTTAACCAAATGAACTGGAAATATGCAGTGTAGATAAGATAAAGCCTGGCTGCAGCAAAGTGATAGGTTACGTGTGTGTGTTGTGTGTGTATAGTCTCCCACCCATTTCCCCTTATTCTCCAACACTTAACATTTCATTCTGATGAATGAGGATTTAATATCTTGCTTGACGTTCCATTGAATTAAGTAATGTCCTGTACAGATTACAGCCTGAACTGTATGTGAAAGGCGTTATGTTGTGTACCGTGCTCACACCTAAATCACTGATCTGTGATGACCTTTTATATTAATCTAGTTTCACTCAGCAGACCCTAATCTAGCTTCTAGAATGAGACATAAATGTTTTTTAGCAGTACATTTTACATAATTGGATCAAAGAATAACAAGGGCAGTTAGGTCTTCCACTAACAAACTTAGACAATATCAACCAAACTCCCTTTTTTTGCAACATCCTGTGTTTGTTTGTTTGATTTGGCTGCCGGAGTCATGTGAACATTGATGAGTGTGATTTTAAAGTGAATCAGAACCAGGAATGTATTACATTAAAACATTACAAATCAGAACCAGATGCGCTGGCAGTGAAGGAAACAGTGATTGTGTCCAGTGCAAGCCTGGGAGGTTCATTGTTGGTTCTAATTCCCTCACGTTTGAGCAGCATTGTTACCAGGAACATTATTAGGAGAGTGGTGATGCTGCCATTTAGCTGATTAGATGTTTTGTTATGTGTAAATAGCACTCTTGGCTAGTGTTTCAACATTACCCAGACAGACAGACGGACAGACTGCAGAGCCAGCTGATTGTGGTCTGGGCTCTGTCTCAGTCTGTGTATTAGTGCATAGGAGCTCCCACCATATGCTTATGCTGCTGTGGGTACTGGCACGAGCATACAGTTTATAAATGAACGCACTCACACTTATAGATGCACACAAACAACAGAAAAAGGACTCCAGGGTCCACAAGCACCTCAGATGCCCTGCCCAGTCTGTGGAAGCAATTTAGACCATTAAACTATGTCGTAGTGGGACTTCTGCCGTGAAGTATATTTAGTGTATATTGGATTTGGGGAGTTTGTGTGAGTTTTAATATATTAGCAGGCGCCAGTCTGGCACCCAAGCCAGAAACTAACAGAGATGGCTTACACCCTCAGATGTTGTACTTAAGTTAAGGCAGTAAAAGTCATGCAATAACAAAATTACAAAAGTTTTAGCATAAACATATTCCTAAATACTTCAAGTAAAAGTGCTTGAAATGCATTATTGTGTATTCGACTTTAATGTTAAAGCTCGTGGTTATATTTGTTTTAGTAATATGAATCGACAAGGTTAATATTATTATTATTATTGTTATAGTTGTTGTTGTTATTATTATTATAAGTGTAGAAGTATAAAATATTGTAACATAGACATCAAACTCAACTCAAAACTGTATTAAAGTATAGTAGTTGAGTAAATGTACCAGTTAATTTCCAGCAGTGGGAATTAGTCAGTTGTACTTCTCTTTCTAATGAAGCCTCACAGTAGTATTCATCATCAAACCACAAGCGGCCACGCCCTCATTCTGCCAGGCTTTATTCATCGTTGCTTCAGACCACAACACTCTCTGAGGTAGTTTATGAGAAACACAGATGTCTGGATGAAAATAAACAGAGGCTGAAACATGAGTGTGCCTTTTAACCGAATTAGTTCTCCACACAAACCGTATCCCAGAAGATTGGAAATCAACCCATTCGGTATGCAGTAGTGCACAATATGAGACGTGATCTTGACTGAGTTGCGCCAATAGAAATCGGCTCATTATCATTGAGGAACATCTACCCATCAAAACATCCGCAAGCATGGTGAATGTTTGCTCTTTTTCTCTCTGCCTTCCTCTGTGTTTATACTAAAGCTGTGCCTTTGAACAGCCCCATGGCTGTATCCCATTACATCCACAGGGATGAGCTGAGGGGTGGTATGGTGAGCATGAAGCAGAGAGGGGCTGTGTGTGTGTGATCCTAATCAATTCAGGACTCGGCCCATAGCAAACCCGCTCTAATAACTTCTGTAGATGGATTCGACTTGAGAGGGAATGCAAACCAGATCACTTAGGAAATTCCACGACGCTCTCTTGCAGCAAAAGCCCCTCTTCTTCTGAAGGAATGTGAGCTAACATTTCCCCTCAGCTCCCTGCTCTCCCACACACACAGCTGCCCCTCAGAGAGTCACGCCAGAAGAGCGCAGGCCACTGAGAAAGAGAAGAAAGAAAGATAGACGCAGCGGCTAATGGCTGCCCTCCCAGCTGCATGGGGTCTTACACATATACACATGTCAGGGGCAAAGGAGAGAGCACACAGAAATTATGAGGGAGATTGAAGGGGTAAATAGGAATAAGTAGCCTAAAGTGGGACTATAAAGAAAGAAAATATGGAGATAAGGAGAAGGAAAATTGATCTGGTCTGACAGATTTGTGAGGAAAGAGGAGAAAATTATAAAATAATACAAAGAGGGGGACTGCGAGCAAGGAGAAAGGGGTGTTGAAGGAGGAGAAGAGGCAGGGCTGAACGTTACTTAAAGTAGCTTCGAGGTGATGGATTGTCTGAGCGGTTTGGCAGGACCATCCATCAGGTGAGGAGAGGTGGTGAAAAGAAAAGTTCAGATAAACACATGACATCCAAATCACAAACCAACAACGCCTTCAGAATGACAAAAGATACTGGAAATGTTTTTGTATTGTTTGAAAATGATCCAAACTGATTTGGGAAGTAGAGGTTGGTACACTTTGTGTGAACTTCTGTTTGAAAAGTGGTGAACCACAAGAAGAGTAGCTGCACCATTAAATAAAGTAAGCTTATCATATGTCTTAAAGAAGATTAAGATGTTACTCTTAAATCTTGGCAGCCATTCAAGATGGATTTTATTTTCCACTATATGACTCAACTGCAGATCTGCTACCCAGTGCCAGTCTTCATCCCGCCTTCAGTATTCAAAAGGAAAGATTTTCAAGTTTTTTAAAGCTTCTCTGCAGAAAACTGCAGATACACACACTTAAAGATCGAATGATTTAAACCCTCTGACACTATTTCAATGAACCAGATTTTACTGAAATAGTTTTGAACTAAGATCTTCTGGAGATCAGAACAGATATCAGCAAGCATTTTAATTTCAGCATTAACATCCCTGCATACAAGCCCAAATGTGTGTACACAATGTGTGTAATGTAACAAATATGAATGTTACGGTCCAAGGGTCGAGTCTTGAGCAACACATGGCGCGAACTCTCTATTTTATGTTTCAAGTCTCGACTTCTATCATTTCAAAGCAACCATCGACAGCATCAACACACTGTGGGTTTAGCAGGAATTTTTTCTCGCATAGTTTTCACTCTTTATTTGGATTTCTCTGCCCGGTGTGCATGGCGGGAAAAATGGGTCAAGAAAGGAAAAGAAAGGGGTGGGGGGGCGAGAGGGGCTCACTGGTCCCTCAACATCCCTGTGTTGAATATGAAAATATATTATAGCATAATGTGTTCAGTATGCAAGCTTGAAGGAAACCATATGAAAAGATCCCAGACAAAGAGCCTTCTGTGTTCCAACTGACCCCCTCCCACCCCCATCCTTCGTCTGCTTCAATTTGAAGAGAGACGGAGAGAGGGAGAGAGACGGAGAGAGGGAGAAAGAGAGAGAGAGAAAGAGAGGTAAAAGGGGAGGTGTGTGCAGAGTCGTAGGAACTGAAAAGGGGCAGTACACACACTCGATGCCTCACACAGCCAGACCCACCGGAGTACAGGTGAGCAGCATGACTAACACCAACACAAACAAACAGGAAAGAGCAGAAAGTCCTGGGATTGTATCTGTCGCTGAGATTGAACCGTGATTGCTGCACACTTTGTCACCTGCAGCCCATTATAATTATCTTTAACGGGGTAAGGCACTATCTTTGTTTGGAAAGGGAGAGAAATAGTGCAGTGAACTGAAGCAGAAGAGGAGGGAAACTTTGGTAGTCTTTGTTTGAGTAGATGACAAACATCTGTGGCTGCTGTTTTCCCCTCGGTTCAGGCTGCAGGCTTACAGAAGGGGCTCTGCTGCTACATTAGCACTGTGGTCACTGATACCCCCATCCCATTGTGTTGACTGCATGGAGCCCGCTGTGTCTCCAGGTTATAGACTTGAACTGCACTGTGTAACATTAGATGGTGTATCCAATTAAAGACCTTGCTGGAGCCGCATTGACTTACTTATATAAGTAATTGCTTCCTGTTAACACAACAGGCGAGGCCCATTTTCTGCTTTACAGGAGGTCAACTGTAGGTTTTCTTCAGCCATATGTTACCATACATATTTTAACAAATGATACCCTTTAGTTAGCTTTGACAGGACAGGCTTTGAAACTGTAGAAAACTCCTTTTGCAAATGTCGTGCTTTGAAGAGAATAATGATGTTAAAACCACTTCACAAATAATCCATGCAGCATTATTTGCACACCTTTTAATTTTTTTAAAGTGCGTGTACTTTCTTCCTTTTGATGTCTAATAGCTTTCAGATTGTGACTGATTGTTTTAGAAGGTTTCCCCCTCCTGGCACCGGATCATACACACCTACTCCAAGTATTTTTCTGTGCCTCTTGAAGTTCTCCACCTGTGCCTCTGAGAGTAGGATGAGCACCACATGAAGCAGACACTTTATTACAAGGTTTTCCTCTGCCTGATTTATGATAGCACTTACACGATTCATGAAAGGGCAAACAGAGATATTTGTGACTTTTATTGGAGTCGCTGCTTTCCAGTGTGTGTTAGATGTCACTCATCAACCTGCACAAGCTGTAGCATGTTGAATATCACAGCCTCCTGAGGAATTATGATCCAGGAATGCCAATTTTGGAGCACTACCCAAAATGATTTCTTGGTGCTGCGAGGGCCCTTGAATGGTTCTTTGTCTGAGCGAGAGAGAGCAAAGGGCCCAGCTAGGGTTTTAGCTTTTACAGCTGAATGATTTTTCTTGCCAAACTGTAAAGGATCCAGGCAAAAGGAAAGAGATAACAGACACATAGCAGCTCTGCCCCTCAGGCATTCCATCATAAAGGCTTGCCAGCCAATGTCCTGACCAGATGCCTCATAATAAGTTCAGTAACTGATACACCTTTAAATCTTACAGTAGGTAGAATGCACACTTACTGTACCTGACATCCACACATCTCACATACTGCAATGTGCACCCAGAGCAACTGATGATGTACAGATGTCATACCTGAGGTGAACATGCATGCAGTGTTTGAGCTATTAGGTGGCTGACATGCTGTCTACAAGTTGGCTATTGATGCAGATGTGTAATAAATGTACAAGACAACGGCCATGAGGGACAAATGAATGATTACAGTTGGTACGGCTGCCAAAGCCATTTTTTTTTCTGCGTCATTACTAAGCGAGGTAGAGAGCTGTGGGATAGATTTGCTGTCTGAGTATGGATCCATCACATGTTGACGATGTACAGGAATTCTGTGATTACACACTAAATCGGCCTACGGGCCTGACTGTAAATGATATCCAGCTTCCACCCCACACAGGAAATCTGTGCAGGGTGGAAGCTGAGCGGGACAGGTGGGCACTTTGAAATACCTTTTGAACTTCAAGATAATTGGAGGGTAGAGAGAGGAGAAGAGATGACATCAGATCTTGGGTATGACATGTACTGTTGGCCTGCAACAAAAGGCTTATACAGTGGTTCACCAAAAAGTTATCACTCTTTTTTTTGTGAGTTGTCATTAAATTAGGATTAATGCAATCAATTTTAGGTTTACATTTGACATGAAGAACTGTCTCCTGGATGAAAGTCCAATTTTATTAACTCCCACCTATATGGCATTTCATATCTTGTATACTTCCTGATTTACAGTGACATGAATGACTTTTTTGGGATGTATACGGAAAAAGGTGGGATCCGTTTGATTGGAAATAGAACACTCAAGCTGGATAATAATAAGCTGGGACCAATGAATAATAAAACCAAAAAACAGATTGTGGCAGATGAGGATTTTTAAGAGTCCATATGTTGGCCTTTTATATTATGAGCTAAATCTGCATCTGTGCCCACGTCAATTTTGATTATCCAAAATCTGTTATTTGTCTAGTAGATAATAAATATTTGAAAGACAAGTAATCAAACCACATTTAAATCAACCCGGGACAGCAGTGTAGGACACGCCCCCAACATGTGTTCACCTCTGTTACCATGATTACAAAAAACATGAAGTCTTGGAACAAAACTGACTGTGAAAAAAAGGAAATGTAGCAAGATGGGTTGCTAATCTAAAAAGACATTGAGATTCAGATAGAACCAAACACATCTGGAGTAATGAAAGGGCTGTTGTCCGAGTGTCGAAACAATAACCCGCCTTCATCTCTTCTCACTTGACACAATCACGCAAGTAAGCGAGAAGGATTTTTGTGTCTTTCTGCAGGGAGGTGGGGCAGGGATTGTTTGGGTTGATTGTGTTCAGGGGCCAATGAGCAGTCCTCCTCCACACTGTCATGACTCAGCTGTCATGTCAGAGGGAGAGCGTCTCCACAAAAACACTTTTTCAAGAGATGTCAATCCAACAACTTTATTAATCCCGCAAGGGGCAATTGGTTATGAGCAGCAGCTTATGTCATGTACACAGGCAGGAACATACAGGAAGAAAACACACAGATACACCCGGGAGCACAGATGTGGATCATTCCAATTTACACTATAAATAGTTCATAGCATCACAATAATAAATAAATAAATAATCAAGTTAAAATATAATTAAATAATAATAATAAATTCTTGAAAGGCATTTTAGCCTTTCAAGAATTTAAAAGTTTGAGTGCAGAAGGAATGAATGATTTTGAAAAGCGATTAGTCTTTAGAGCAGGTAGAGCATATCTTCGCCCTGGTGGCAACAGACGAAATTCATGTGAAAGAGCATGACCTGGAGAGGCCCGAATGCTCTCTGCTTTCCGCAGAATCTGTTGGTTACAGAAGGAATTTAAGTCTCTCTGTTTCATGTAAACAACTTTAGGCTTGCACACCTTCGCATGAGATGAATTTGAGCGTGGTTGCTATGCCTCTGAGGAATTTCAAAAATAATGATTAGGCCTCTGCACAGCCCTCCCACTCCTGAGTGTTACAGTGGTGAATCACAACAGAAAACAAATTCAACCGTGAGCTTCTCGCAGAGGCAAGTCTGATCAGGGAAAGGATGTGTAAACATATCATTATCATCACAAATGTTGTCAGTGTGTATTATTAGCTTTGAAGAGAGAACATGACACTGTGGATCTAATGAAATGCTCCATCAGATAAGAGGGAAGGGTGCCATAGATGTCAATGTCTCTTTACTTCATGCTACTAATCTTTAATACACATTTACTTTCTCAGCATTCTGTTTCATATCACAGACCCAAAGGCAGGGATAAAGTTCATTTTTTGGCAGGTTTAATCCATACATAAATACATTTCCAAACTTATCGCCTATTTATTCTGTCATTCTTTATTACACTGAGTAAATGTGGCGCAAAGTTTTATAATGGTGTCTTTTCATTTCCATTTCCACATTCTTAACCTGAATGCAGATTAGACTGAGAAGGCTGATCTTTATCTTTAAAGGCAGAAAAATGCACTTTCATTGTCTCATAAATGAACAAAGCATTAGATTAATGCTATGTTCATTAAAAGTCTCAGATGAGCCAAACTGAGTATATTAAAATTTTCTTTAAGCAAGGTTTTTTAGACCGCTTTCTAGAAACTATCGTTTCAAATCCTGTACAAAGCAGTTGGTTTGAACCTATAATGCCCTTTCACAAAAAGCGAGAATGGAAAATGATGTAGGATTCTTGTCCAGCTGATTGCCAAACCTGCAGTTTGCCATGCCAAAGTTGTGGGCAGATGTAACATCAAGCCTTTGTATTCGCAAATGTCACATTTAAATCATAAAGCTGAAGAAAAGTTTGCATAACTTAGTTTTAACCTGCATATTTTTCTTTTTTTGCAGATGGTTTTGCACACAACATGGACATGGAGAGGAATTAGATCAAACACACCAGCCTTTCATCCTTTTGTGTACAGCTGAAGCTTGGCCCACTACCAAAAAAACTGTTTGAATAATCAGAACACAGATGTTTTCTACAAGGAGCCAAATAAACTGATGGTGGAGCTGCTGACCGCAGAATTATTGTTTTCTTGACAATTTCTTAGTTTTAGTGTGCTGATGCATTTCAGTATTAATCGAAACTACCCTCAGAAGAAATAAGAACCTTCCTTTTCACTTGTGGTTTTGTGAATAAACAAAAGAACAAAATCGATTATCCTGCCCTCAGAGGCTGTGTCTGGCTTTCATGTGTAATATATAACACAGAACACCAGAATAGAGCCACTTTAGTTGAATACATTGGAGCTCTGAATACAAACACGTTTCTGGACTGACCTTTCCTGAATTAAATGTTATTCCTCACCTAACAGCAGGAAGCTGCCATATACACAGTTCCCCTTCACGTCACTGTAGAGTTATGAACTCCAAGATAAAGGGCAGATCCTTTTCTCCGAAAGAAAAATAATCTGCGGGCTGGAGATTGCGATGCAGACGAAAAGCATGTTTTGGTGACCAAAATAGCAGAGGAGGAAGAGCGACGTCTGAGAGAGAAAAAAAGGGACTATTAGGGAGATGCAAATAGAGAAAGTGAACTGTTTCTCAGCCCTCTCTGCCAGATTTTCAACAGAGCACAACAAACTTGAGCAATTTTCGCGGCAGTTGTCCATGGGAACTTATCCAAGGCACATCGGAGCGGACCCTCCTAGGAAGTTCTGTTAGATTGAGAATAATACTTTAAGAAGACCAAAGTAAGAGAGCACTTTCATCCAAATTTCAGCAAACTACAAGAAAACTTTGGGATTATAGCTGAAATAGGACCGGAAGCAGCCACTTGGAAAGTAGAGCTACTCCTTTCCTTGTCCTTTTTTTGTGTGTCTTCCTCATGTAATGTATTCACTGCCTGCCAGTAAGCACTAAACTTCCATCTTCCAACTGGACCACAGTTTCATCTTATCAGGAGAGAGGATTGAGCTGACTGGAACGAAACTCTCACATACTCCCCTACCAAAAGGCTTTTGTTTAGCTGCCGCTGATCATTTTACCGTGGGTAACATGGAGATGGAAAAGGGACATACGTCTATCCGGAGAGGAGTGAGCTGGAGTCCAGGAGGATTGAGGAAACCTCTCCAGGCAACCCAAAACACTCCTGGGACGGAATGCAATGCATCATGGGAGACAACAGGATTCAACAAAGAACAGATGAGCCGGAAAACAAGTAAGTGTTTGTTTATCTGGCGTTTGCCGTCTTTTTCTGGGAAGCTCAAGCAGCAGCCAGAATGTGTATTGTTACCAGTGGTGGAAGGAGTACTCAGATCTTTCAATTGGAGTGTAACAATTTTACAAGTTAAAGTCCTGCATTTAAATCCTTTACCAAGTTAAATTGCATAAGTCAAAGATATTTAAACTTACAAAATAGCATGTATTCATAATGCAGAATATCTTAATTTAGAATAGTTACAATTATACTTCATCACTTAATGTAAAACAGCTGGTAAAGCTAAAGCTTGTGGGGCTATGATAATTACTTTATGAACTACTGGGTACCTTGTGAATTCACTCCCCGGGGATCAATAAAGTCATCATAAGTTATTCAGTGAATATATTTTGTATTATTAATCTTAGCTGTGAAAATAAGTAAAGCTGACAAATGGAGTAAAAGTACATACATTTCTCGATGAGGTGCAATGGATTAAAAGTATAATATTGCATATACTGGAACCACTCAAGTGAAAGTACACTTACTTTAAAATCATACCTAAGTACAGCATTTTAATGTATTTATTTAGTTACTTTCCACTCCTGATTGTTACTTTTTTTACTTCATAGGAAATGTAGTTTTGAACACATTTCCGGTGGTTGTTTGTAGTGCTGCCTTAATGCTACAGTGTGGCTTGAACTGCAATATATCATCATATCAGATAACCGATAACTGAGGGGAGTAGACAGCAAATAGACAAAACAGACAGCCCTGCCTCCTCAGTGCAACTTGACGCAGTGAAGCTCTCTATGAAACATCTGTTTCCATGCTGTAAAAATACAGGCAGCCCCAACAGCAGTGGAAATGCAATCATGCATCACTGCTAAAGGGCAGTCTGAATATACAACACAGCCACTGAAAATAATGGGCTAACCTGTGGCAAAGCCGTTTGGAAACTTCTTCAGAAACCGCTTTTTACATTCACAGACGTCAAAAGGATTTCACACTCCATAATAACACCAACAACATTTTATTGGTAAATGGAAAATGGAAAAACAATGAAACAATCCTTGGCTGGAAAGGTAATTAACTGGGCTGGGACATATCTGTCAGAGGCATTATTCAAAGAGTAAAATACATTGTGCATTGAGGAAGTATTACAGAAAGGTCATGGTCATCAGATAACTGTCCCTGATATAGATCTAAGTATAGCCTCTGTACCTTGAAAACTGCTCCCTTCACTCATTACTCACTAATTAGTTTCCTCAAAGCGAACACAGATCACCGATAATAACACTAAAGACAGTAATTAGTCGACTACACCTTTGCAGAGACCTTTCATAACACACAGATGTTACAATACGAGCGGCAGAGCTCAGTCTTTTATTTCCCCCATGGGATCCAGTGGGAGTTTGAGTCACATTCAGCAGGGTAAGATCCCAGGACCCCTGTTAATCCGTGCCTTTCCATACCGCTTCACACATCACCCACGAGGGCTAGTGCTGTCATCCCGTTCACCCCACAGCCATCGCCCGGATAAAGATAACATCCGACAGGGTAATCTAACCTTTGATACACAAATGCAGAGTTGGCCCCCCTGACTTAAATCCTCCCGCTGTGGGGGCAGTTAGCCGTCTGCTGTCACCCACACAGGGATGAGGGGATGGGACAGAGGGCAGGGGGATGAGGTAGGGAAAGTTAGAGGTAGGGAAATGAGATTCTTGCATCAGTGTCGAGGTCTGACTTTTGTTTCTGCTGGAGGACAGGAAATTCCTATCCTGTCCTTGCAGGCTGGAGCTTAGGGCCCAGAGGGTTCAGCAAGGGCAGACCCTCGGTTGGGGAGAGTGCACCATAAACACACACACTAACATGGTGATTTCCAGACAGACACAGAGGGCAGCAAAGGTCAGGAGCTGAATCTCTAGAGTCTTAGTGGTCTAATCCATAAGCTGCACATTTACTGGAGTATCTCTGCTCTCCCCTTCCCCTTCAAAGACTGCAACAAGGGATCACACACTTCCCTGCCATCACAGGACATTAGACGGAGATAAGCCGCTCAATACTTGCCATTGATTGGACAACTCTCCAGAACTGTCAAAACAACGTGCAGTCTGTGTGTGTATCAATACTCGAGCTACTAAAGCCCCTGGGCTCTTTTCTCTGAGGCATATGTCTCCGTTTTTATAATTAATGGAAACCCTGGAGGTGGTGGTGCAGATTTGAAAAAGTGAAACAGAGCTGGAGGCTGAATGACAGACAGCACAGCCTCCAGCTACAGAACACCTCCCTCCCTGCCTGTCTGCCTGTCTGTGTGCTGGGCTGCGGAGAAAGAGAAATCCGATCCTGTGTCCCGCTACAGAAAGGGGGTGTGAAGCTATCAGACGCAGTTACATTGAAAAAACTCTTGTGGAGGTACAACAAAAAACCGGAGCTCTGAATTTGAACATATAAAGGTAAGGGAATAGGCTCTTAATTGAATCCAGCCTTACCATTTAAACTTCCAGTTAACTTTCGGATCTTTATAACCTTGAATTAAAACTTCTTCTTTACTTTTTGGGGGAGAAATATGACATACTGTAATGACTTAGTAGCATCCTGTTTTGGAACTTGTGTGATTTTTACAATCTTAAAACTTGAAGGTTATTTGTTTTACTTAATAAATGAAAAACTTTTAAACAAAGTCCAAATAACTTTTCAGCTTTTCTGTGATCCGTTCATTCAGATCTGTAGTGTGCCCTGTAGCTTTCAGAAGATAAATTCATTTCTGCAACATATTTATTAAAATGTATTGGTTGTTATTATGATTTTTATTAGTTTACAGTTTATATATTTGCTGGGAATTAAATGACTTAGTGGTTGGTGTCATTTTATTTGGCAGGGACAATGCACAGTAATGAACACTTAAAACATTCAAATGTGTCAAGCGTAACAGTGCCAGATTTAGCTTTGAGCTAATTTCCATCCGCAGTCCCTCACATAAAACATTTAAGAAAATTACATTTTACAAGCATTCTACGCATTGCTATCAATTCTGCTGAGAGAAATATGTAAATCATGATGGGATTTGCACCTGTGTGTTACTTGATAACCACTCTGGCTCCCACTAGAGGTAACTAGATGTGTACAGCTGGAGGACATTTGATTTCTAGCCTTACTGCTCTGGTTCTGGTATATCCAAGTAGTCTGATTTATCAAATTAAATAGCTAATAAAAATGTCAAGACGTGTGCTGGTGTTCGCAGCTATATTAATAAATAATATGGTAGGTTCTCTCCGGCAGTCTATAAAGGAAAGAGATTTATGCTCATGTCAACAGGACTGCTTGTTTAAAAGGGTTGTGTGATAGTGCTTTCATCCCTCTTATATTGTTGTCACCAATATGTGAGGTGGTTGATATATCCCCTTCTAATAGTGTCCCGTTCTTTCTTTCCTCTCTCACTGTCAGGTTGAGTGATTTATCATAGTTGACGCTGACATTGATGTATTGATGCATCATCAAGGCGTAAACTTTTTTGCATCTAAATGCACTGTTTATAATCCAGAAGGGCCTATACTTCCCATTTTATATATTACATTAATAAGATGATAAAGATAAGCTATTGAACTTTAGATAGGTCCTTGTTAAAGGAACTCATGGGTGACCTACAAAGAGTTAATTCAATTACTGCTGAGGGTAGACTGAAAGTCTGTAAAATCAATGAGAGATGCATATTATTCCCTTTCACTGATCATGTTTATACTCTGTGCCAGGAAAAAATACATGCAGAATTAGCTCTATATAGGAAAGCTTTACAAATGATTGATTTACGCATAATTGTTGTGATTGGCACATGATAAGGTCAAGTAATGTAGCTCCCTGGATACATCACCTTATTAAATAAAGAAGGAATCATGGCTGTGCGAGTGAGACGTTGTCTTTCACTAGTCAGAGTTACATAAATAACATGAATAATCTACCAGATGTGTCGCCACAAGCAGTTATTCTCCAATAAAATACCCATCAGAGTTTCTTCTTAAAGGTTTTTATTATGTTTAAGGAATATGCAGCTTTGATTTTCCTCTTGTAAACTTAAAGTATGATGTAGTCACTATATTTAAGATGGGAACACTTGATTGTATAGTATGTTTATAGACAGCAGTCGAAATATGTCATTTTTGAAAGCCAATTAAAAAAAAACGTCTATTAAGGGTTTGAGCTGCAGCACAAATTAACTACAGAGAGAAACCAAAGGCATCTTGGAAGCTCACGCGGGGAGTTTTCTCAGCGGTGGAGGAATGCTCAGGGAGGGACTGCTGCAGATGGCAGAGGAAATAGCTCCGCTGTCTGGAATGGAGCTCTTAAGCTCCAAAAACAAACTTGTCAATTTTAACATAGCCATAATTTCAAGGTAATCAGCATAACTGCAGTATCGGCTAAAGACGATGATTGACAACAATTTCTTTCGGTACTGTCGGAAAAATGTCCCAGATCTTTTATGAACTTAAGTCAACAAGCTTATTAAAATGTTTTTCCTCCTACGTCTGTTAGTTCTTTGTCTCAAGCTCCAGTCTGCTGAGTCAAGTGTCCACAAAGCCCTATTTTTCTCACTGGATTGGTTGTAATCAAAAGCAAAGCAGAATCAGAACCAGATGGTGCAGAAACAATTATGTGGGTTTTTAAAGAGAATATTTAATCCCTGACTTGTTAAAAATGTGTCCTTGCTGGTTCTCTCTATTTGTACTGTCCATAAAAGTGGTTTGGTGAGCTTTAATTAGATGTTGAGGGAGTTGTCTTTGTTTAAGGAGTAGATGTAGCCCATTACTAAGTCTGCCAAAGTTAGGGGTCCCTTTCATCACAAAAAAGACAAAATCCCTTGTTTATCTCATTAATCAGATTTCCAACTTTCTCTCCCTTTCTCTTTTACTACAGATCTGACGAGGAGTGCCAGTCTGTCAGAAAAGGAGCTAAAGGAGGCCCGTGTCAGGAGTCAGATCATCGCTGCTCAGCTCACAGTCCCTTCAAACTCCAGCTCCAGAGGTGTGCAGCTTTTCAACCGGCGCAAGCAAAGGGTCAGCGCCTTTACACTCGAAAGCTGTGGAGAGGGGTCAGGGGGTGACGGACCTGAGAATGTGAAGACAGACCCCTCTAGTAACAAAATAACATGGGCAGAGAAGAGCACTGAAGAAAAGGATAGAGACCTGAACTTTAAGAACAGTAAGCCACTCTTGTCACTACCTGGTAGGGTACATTCAGTAGGTGATATCATGGAGGAACCAGCTAAAGATTTCTACAAGGTGGACGAAATGGAAGACAGTGTTATCCAAGAGAGACATTTCCTACCTGTCAAGGAAGAACAGGAGGAAGAGGAAGAGGCAAGAGATAAACTCTCAGTGGAGCTTGAGGACAAAGTCAAGGATGAGATTCCCCCTGGAAGTAATAATACTGATCCGGTTGTGATGAGACAGGCTGAGTGTGAGGCAGAGATAAATGAGGGCCACACAGGGCCAATTCGCCCTGGAAAGCTTCATAATGGCTGCCACAGTACCTCTGGGCCTGAGAGGGTTCTTGTTCCAACAACCAAGCAGACTAACACCATCATCAATCGAACGGCCAGGCCTTTTTTCTCGCCATTGACAGTGCAGTCACCAGAGTCCTCCAGCCCTGTCATGGACATTCCCCCTCCTCCTTCTTACGACACTCCTCCCCTCCCTGTTTACACTGCTCCTCAACCTTCGGCGTTCTCACCACTGCCTCCGCCTCCGTCATATCCCACACCATCTCTCCCGGCTTTTACAAACCAGCCGCCGCAGAACTTCTACTCCAGTCCACCTCTGATTTCTCCCGTCTTGTCTCCTCCACCTCCCCAGTTCCCTGTGTCTTCTGTCTCTCAGTTCCCACCCATGCCCCATTATGGCCCTCCCAAAGTCCCAAAGCCCTCCACCTTTGCTCCTCAGCCTGCTCAAGAGAGGAAGTCTATAACACCAATCAAAACGGGAATACTTGAGGAGGGTGCTGCTAGAAGAGGGAATAGGAAGTCAATGTTCACCTTCAAAGAGAAGACAGTGGTAGCTCCGAACCCTGAGCTTCTCTCTCTGGTGCAGGGGGTGGATGAAAGGAAGAAACATGGACATATATCTGTGCCTGAGCCAGTATCCGAGGAAGAGTTGCTGGCATTGGGTGCTGAGGCCTCCAACTTCCTCGCCAAGGAGGAGGACAGGGCAGAAGAGGAAAGAGCTCCAGAGTGGGCTTCCAGCCTCAAGGCCTCCAGGACCCGTCCCAGGGCAGAGCATGTGCCAGATCATAGCCTCACCAATGTGTCAGGAAAGGGGGCTGAGCTGTTCGCAAAGCGACAGTCCAGGATGGAGAAATATGTTATTGAGAAGCAAAATTCGGGACAAATGAGGTCTCCTTCTCCCACTATGTCTCTGCCACCATCTTGGGTGTACCCAGCAAACATGCCTGGCAGGGTGAAAGCCATTGCAAAAAATTCTGACATGGGGGCTCAGCTTTCAGAAAAACTAAAGGCCCAACAAGCTGTCCAGCAAAAACCAAGACAAAAAGCCCCAGAGCCAGAGCCAATCGCAGAGCCTCCGTTAGAAAATGGTTGCTCCAAGTTAGAGATGGACTTGTCGAGGCACCGGCCTTACCAGCTTTCCTCTTCCCTCTTCATCCTCAACCCAGTCAAGGACCCCCTTAGTACCTTACCCAAAGGAGCACCACAGTCCAAGAACCTGATATCAAACCAGCCTTTCTCTAGACAGACTTCCTTACCTTATAACCCTCCTTCTCACTTCCGTACCCAGAGTATGTCACCACAGCTGCCCCTCAGCCCCACAAGAAGAGAAGCTGAATATCCACCAAATCCAGCTTATGGGCAGCCAAGGATCAGCTCTCCTATGTCGGCCTTCTCTCCAGAGCGAGTGTCCTCTCCACGGTCAGGGGTCCAGGCACCAAGGCCTATGTTTTCTGCAAAGAAGGCAGGGATTGCACCACAGGTGTGGAGACCCTCTCTCTACTATTTCTAGAAAATGTGTTTGATGCACTTTTCCGTTTAACTTGTGCCTTCTAGGACTGTTTATTGTATTATAGGTAAATAACAGAGCGGAATATTTGATATGTGAAAAGTCACATGTTTCAGTAAGCAATTGATTGTATAAGAAATGATTGATAATAGATGCAATTAGGGCCGTACCGTGCCTGCTTCTTCCAGGATTATCTAAGTGACAACAACTAAATTGTTCACTGAATCTATAATTGTACTTTTCCGCAGTAACAAACACCCAAACAGCAGTAATTACCTGCAGTTAAAATTCAAATGTGCCAAGCGCGTCAGCACTAAAATACTTACATTTTTTGTACATTTTGAAATATGATCAGAAACAACCTCACAGTTTTTCCACTTTTCTCTCCCAGTCCTGTGGGCACCAGGGTGATGCTGCTTCATAAAGCACTTTAACAGATGGTCTGGCATCTGCTTTATGATCTATGGTTTGCAATTTAATTCTGCTCACTGACATGAAAGTTGCAGGGAGAGAACTCCTTTTATGTCTTTATGTCTTAGGGGTAATTTACTCTGCTTTCCAGCATTTCCTACATAAATATATAGTGTGTACTTTGATTCTTTGATGTTTCAATTCTACAGGCTGCATACTAATTTGTATCATGGACATATATATTGTTTTCGTGACTTAAAGCTGTAATTCCAGAAGTATTTTCTCACAGAACATAATCAATCACTGTTGTTATAGACTACAGGGTTTGTGTTTGTTTCATTTCATAAACTTTGATTCACTGCTCTCTTCTGCTTTTTTCCTGTCTGTAATGATTGATTTATTTGTGTTAGAGTGAGTCTTTCCTTCTCTGATTAAAACTTTGTGTGACCTCTTTCTCCTTTTTCTCAGTTCCTGACTGCACTTACTTCTTTCAACCATTAGTTTGACTGACTACTGTTTGTTATTTCACTTTCCTTTCTTTCTTGCAATCACTGCAAACACTTGAACATGCAAATAAACTTTATGTTTCCGTTTAACGCAAAGATCACAGATCTATTTTGGAAGAAAGCATGGTGACTTTGAAATTAAAATATTTATTCCATCTTGCCATTGCAAGATATTTGAGTCATAATAAGAATTTGAGTTATGTGTGTTCATGTTAAGATCTGATACTTGTTGATGTAGGGGGGGGGTTTAACATTCAGACACATGGAATAACCTTTTACCTGGGTCTGTTTCTTTCACAGATGCGCTGAACCTTAGTAATGTGATCAGTGACATTCATCTTAAAGACCATACATTTTCAGGATACTAAGCCGAGCAGTTCAGTCTATGACACAGTGTTTATATTTTGATTACGGAGTGGAGATTGTTTGCTCTTAATTAGTATGTGCATAAGAAGGAATGCTGTCCTTGCTTCAGTCGAGTAACTTCATATCCCTGTAAAGGTTAACCATCTCAGGAAGGCTAAATGACAGTAACCTGAGAGGGACACTAAAGACTGTGCATGTGTCCTAGCAGTGTCCTAGCCAGGCTTAATGAAGAAGAAGAAGGGAGTACACAGAGATAGGCTGGATGCCACTGGGGGTCAGACTTAACACTTACAAAATATTTGACCCAAAATGCACTTAGTCTCGAATAGACTTAAGGCCTGTTTCACTGTAACATGTTGGGCTTTTGCAAGTTTAAGCAAAACAAAAAATCTCGCCATGGTCAAATCAAAACCTTAGCATTAACATAACGAAGACATTTATTTATTTCAAATGATTGTATAACCATTTGTTATTTGCATGTTTGTGTGATGTATTTTTGAATGTCTAAGATATATAATTTGTCCTGGTCCAACAGACACCAACGGATTCCTCCCCAGTTGAATCCCGCAGTGAGGCTCCAACGCCAACCAGGACGCCCAGCCTCACCAGACGTTTGAGCAGCCCAGAGGGCCCGGCACCTGGGACCTGGGCTCCCAGCCTCCAAGCTAACCGGCCCTCCACCGCCATCTCTAGCGGCTCAGTAACTTCCCCTGTATCCTCTGCCAGAGGTACCAGATGCCAATCCCCTGTGGCCAGTCAGAATATCCAATTGTCCATGGTGACCTCCAGTACAGCACCCAGAACCTCTCAAACATTTACAGCCACTTCTTCACGCTCTTCTCCTTGGGGTTCAAGATGTCAGTCGCCAATGGTTAGCCCGAATACCCAGTCTTCCAGCAACACCTCTATTCCTGGTTATAGACCATCCCAAACACCTACAACTACTTCCCCTTTTTCTCCTCCTTGGGGTTCAAGATGTCAGTCCCCGATGGTGAACCAGTGTACACAATCTTCCACTGTATCCTCTACATCCAAACCAACCCCAACATCTACAGCTGCATCACCACGCTCCCCTCCTTGGGGATCAAGATGCCAGTCCCCTAAGGTGAGCCAAAAAAGCCATTCTTCCACAATTACCTTTGTTCCTACATCCAGACCAACCCAAACATTGACAGCCACCTCTCCTGTGTCTCCTCCTTGGAGCTCACGTCCCCAGTCTCCTGCACTCTCCCAGACTAGTTTATCCTTCTCCACCACTAAACCTCTGCACACATTTTCTGCAACCTCTCCTGTTCCCCCACCAAAAGACAGTCGCTGCATGTCCCCCATTGTTGATAACCAAGACTCTAAAGCCAACCACCGCCTCCTGGCCAAGAACATCATCAATGCAGCCAAACGCAAAAACAGCCCCTCCCCTGGAGCACTGAGCGGCCACAGCCTCCCCATCTCCCCACTGGGAAATTCTCACCATGGCTACGACTGTAACAAACCACCCATGAGTCCTTTCCAGTCACGGGCATTTGGGGCCCAGTCCCCTACCTTCACCAGCCCTCCTCCAACCCCAACACAGAGGATCTGTTCACCTGTGAGGCTCTACAACACTCGCTCCCTCACCGACTCTGACGCCTCTGTTGAGTCTGAAGACTCAGGCCTGCGATCGCCTGGCCTGCACTCCTACAACACCTGTCCCCGTGGCTGGGGCGGCAGCCTGAGGGTGAAGAGAAGCACTGTCTCCACGGACCTTTGAGGGTATTAATGGAAGGCAATCAAAGCATGATTTAGGTTCATAGACATTTTGGGCATTGGGTTAATCAGAAAAAGAGTTTCTGATGACGCATTATTATACTTTTCCTTTGAAGATACCTTTCTATAGCTTTGAATACCAACCCTTGACAATGGTAAATATGTTATTAAGGTAGTATTAGTACTTTATATGACTCACATTCAAAGTATGTACTGACAAGAACAAGCTTTTTACATAACCCAGTTGCTGTGGCTTGTATGCTTCTTAAATACCAAAAAGACAAAAAATAGAGTAACCAAAGATATTTGAATCCGCTTCAATATGAATCCTTTTACACAAAACATACATTCACACTGTTCCAGTTAAATTGTGTATGATTACATCGTTTTTAATGTTATAAATGAAATATCAATATGTTTGCTGGGGTGACGCAAGTCAAAATGGGAAGAGACTTGAAGAATCGTAAGACATAGAAGGGACACATGGAGTGAATAATGTAGACATTTAGCTGACAAAAGCACAGTGGTAAGCGGTACAATGCTAATCACATTATCATACAGGGTCACAGTATTCACCACAGTTTATTACCCATTTTAATCAATGGGAAATAACTTATGCATAATTATCGCAGTGCAATAATCAATTTAACACAGCGAATGTTATGTATGTTATATGTTTTTATGTACTACATTTTCTAAAATGAATGTAAGCTTTACAGAAAGATTGAGGGGGAATGACGAGGAGATGAAAAGACGAAGAGTTATGTAGAGGTTGGGGCATTTACGCACATGTTCAATCAAGCACCTGATTCAGGACAAAGAAATATTCCAAAGACTTATTCCCCTATGTAAAACCATTGACGATGAACAATTCAATAAACAATAGCCGTCAAAATGCAAAAAGTGATGGCATATTGATTGTAATAGTCGCATTGGAGATTGATGGTTGTTGATATATGTCATGAGGAACGTTTTAACATGTTCTGTGCCTGTACTTATTGTGCAAAGTGCCTGTTTGGATGAGAAAATGCGTATGTCAGAAATGGTATAACAAATGTTGTTAAAAAAGGTCAGAAGAATGTTGTATGTTGTGAAATAATAATCTAAGTGTTTGTGAGAAAATTATAACAGGAATGAATTGTATTTTAAATACATACATATCTGAAATTTACATTCTCTTTTACTTCTAAAGTTTCTTTTTATACTTGATTTGCACTTCTGTTCATTCCATTTCAATGGCTCAATTGGCATTATGAAAACATGATTTTTTTAAACAAACAGGTGTCATTCACAACAGAAATAGCAAATACATTTTATTTTGTGAAAATTAAAATATTCCTGCACAAAAATATATGTTGACAAGATGGTAACATTTAGCTGTAAACCTGACTGCTGCCTTCAAACCACGTCTGGCTTTTTGTTTACACCATTCGCACATTGCCCAATCTCATACCATCACACACACAACAGATCAGTCTTCACTCTCCGACGTGAAGGCCGAAAGCATCAGCACATTTATAAATATTTACTTCTGTGTGTGTTTTTGAGAGGCAGGGACACCTGCTTCACATTGACCTGGCTCCTTCAGCAGGATTACTGTCATGGATAGGTTTCAACTTGAGGCACCTTTGGACAAACCAAACACCGCCGGCATCCTCAGACACAGTAAATAATCACAACATGTTTTTTTTTTGTTTTTTTGCAGCTCATTTTTCTTTCATTTTATAACAGTATGATGTCTGAAAATAAATGCAAATAAAAAGTGATGACACATTCATTCAAATAATGTATAGTTTGTCTTTTGTGTGATTATTATACTTACATGTACCCTAAACAGAAAATGAAACATTATGTTGGTCATCCATGAGATCATTTAATATAAAACACTTTATTTAATGATTTACTTTTAGTGTACACTTGAAGTAAGGTTAAACTGTGACAAATGTAGGTATACAGTAATCCTGTACAGCACCAACTAAACAGAGATTCATATTCCATCTGATCCTTACATTACCCCTTAATGCACTGCAACAGCATCTCCATTCAAATTGTAGTTGATAAAGTACATTTTATTGTGGTTTAATAGTTTGATTGATATGTTTTAAATTGCCTATTTTCAGTCCCAAAAAAAGTGATTAACAACCTCTTCTTGTATTAAATTCCTGTAACATTATAATAAATAGGCTTCGAATAAGCTTACAAATTCTGGCATACAGTATGTGCAGGATCACCCACCGTATTCGTAGACTAACATTGTTTATTTTGTTTTACAGAGGCTTGCATCATGCTACACAGTGCAACATGCTACATATTTAAGGGGATAGTTAGGCGAAATAAATGTGCCTTGCAGCAACTCGTTGGGGTGAAAAGAAAACCAAAGCCAAATTTATCATAGGTTCAAAGACTGCCATCTGTAGGACCCCAGACAGAAGTTCAAATGAGGCGACGTGGTTTGAACTTAAGTTATGTTATGTGGCCTGCATGGCACTGTGTATCAAAAATAAATTGTATTTTTCATACGTACTCTCATGGTTTTTCTTTTCTTTTCAAGAATTCCTCATAGTTTTAAAATGAGGCAAGAAAATAATATAAAGAAAAACAGTTGAAGTATTATTTAGTGGGAATGCTGATACAGCATTCCAACTACTTGTTCTTCTACGCACAAATTCTTTATTTAGTGGGAATGCTGATACAACATTCCAACTACTTATTCTTCTACGCACAAATTCTTTATTTAGTGGGAATGCTGATACAACATTCCAACTATTTGTTCTTCTACGAACAAATTCTTTATTCTTATTCCGCCGGGTTATGTTGTCCGTCTTCTGCTCCCACATCGCAGAAACTCCGCTCGAACATCAAAACGTTCAGCTCGGTAGGGAATCAATGGCTATTACTTTTCTCATTCATAACTTTTAAAATTCCCGAGATATATCCCATAATTCATCACATTTTTAACATGGAAGTCAATGGAGAAACTCTTCAGACTTGAAAAATCTTCATGCGACTTCAACACCTAACTGTTCCTTCATACTTTCACTCAGAAACCTCATTCCAACTTTAAAATGTTACAAATCTTTCTGACATTATTTATATTAAACAACTTTTAAATAAGATTCATACTTTTAGAGATATTAAACATTGTTCAGACCATGGTAAAGAGGCCTTCTTCAGATTCAGCTCATTAAGGTGCGTGATGTCACAGGTGGAGGAGAGCTTGAAATTCGCCTTCATATTTCTTTTTAAACCTGCCATAATTCCCAAACCCTACACTCCTGAGACATAATCTTTCATGATAAACGTAGGAAAACATCTCGTAGCTTGAAAAATAAAAATCAATTACGCAAAAATAATTAAACAAAATGCCTCTTGAGGGCATGAAGTGACAACAACTTTCGACATGTCTCCATTAAAGCCCATTGTACATTCAGGTTGGTCTTTCCTCACAGCAGCAGCCGCACACCTTTAGTTAATCTACAAAAAACACCACATTATTGACATGAAAGTACACAAAAAGCAAACTTCAGATACTCAGGGTCCTTAAGATGCTTCACGCATTGAAATTTCACCGATATCTGTTACGGTCCTTCAACAAAACGTTCACATGTAAGAGGTTTATCTCTCATTCAGAACAATGGAAAGGCTCTCCTCTCACTGATTACTGCACATCACAATGGAAACCTTAGATCTCTGGGCTCAAGCGCAGGTGTTTCATAACGTCGTTAGCTCAAACACACCTGTGTGATGGAACACGATAATGTCATAACTCCAACTGAACTGACATGCTCAGAACGCCAGCAAACATCACATGATGGTTAACAGTGGCCCTGAACAGCTCTACATCAAATCTGATGTTTTGTAATGTAGTGTTACTATGGCAACGCATCCCTCGCCATAAAACATGATGTTGCTGTAACTCCAATGGACACGGTTCAATCGTCCCCCAATCTTCACTTGTACACTGAACAAAAATATAAACGCAACACTTTTGTTTTTGCTCCCATTTTTCAAGAGATGAACTCAAAGATCTAAAACATTTTCTATATACACAAAATAACCATTTCTCTCATATTGTTCACTGAGACTGCCAAGGCACACTGATAGTGAGCACTTCTCTTTTGCCGAAATAATCCATCCCACCTCACAGGTGTGGCATATCAAGATGCTGATTAGACAGCATGATTATTGCACAGGTGTGCCTTAGGCTGGCCACAATAAAAGGCCACTCTGAAACGTGCATTTTTGCTTTATTGGGGGGGTCTGGGGGGATCCGAAAACCAGTCAGTATCTGGTGTGAGGGTTAGGATTAGGGTTAGGGTTAGGGTTAGGGTTAGGGTTAAGGTTAGGGCTAGGGTAATGTTGTGAATCGAGTGGTCCATGGTGGTGGTGGGCTTATGGTATGGGCAGGCGTATGTTATGGACGATGAACACAGGCCACTCGATTCACAACATTACCCTAACC